ATTATTGAGGCCTCTAATATATGATACATCGTCCTCATTGTGGAACTAGGTTCCCCCAGAACCAGATCAGTGCCGCTGTGCCTCTGCTTTCATTGATGGGATGGCTCAGAAAGATTTGGATCATACCAAACCCTGAAACAACTCATCCCGAAACCCTACCTAAACCCCCTTCCCCCCCCCCCCCCAATCTGTCCGGGTGGTGTAGAAATGAGGGCCGCCCGGCGATACGGTTTCAGTTCCTCAGATACAGCGTGCTCGGCCTAAAGACCTTGAGTGGGCACTGCAACATCCCCGCCTAAGTGTGTACGTGGGTCGTTGGCCCTGTTGGCAACATGATGACAACGGAGGTAGTACCATAAGGCTGCTATACGGGTACCTAAACGCTAATCGCCAAGCCCCAGACCCTTAGCTCTAAACCCCCAGACTATTCTGAGCGAGTTGGGGTTTCTGAGAGGTTGACTCCCTATGACACTTCTCGTCAACCGACCTTTCGAATAGACTTTCATGATGCCTGGAGGACAAACACTTGATCTTGGAACCTTCCAGCCTTATCAACCAAAAGTCCCAAGCCCTGAGAACTCAACTCTCAACCTAAAGCAACCCTTCCTCAACCCTTAAGCCTTAAGCCTTTGAAGCCAGACAGCCCGTGCCTCCCTTGCTGCTTGCCCAAACATAGCAGCCCAAACGCTAAACACCGTAAACCTTTAAACCCAAAGCCGCAAACCTCAAACCCAAAACCCTCAAACCCAGAAACCCACAAACCCTCAAACCCTAAACCCCTAAACCCCAAAGCCCTGAACCCCAAAACCCTAAACCCCAAACCCTGAAGCCCCAAAGCCCTAAACCCTAAACCTCAAACCCTGCAGCCCCAAAGCCCTAAACCCCAAAACCCCAAGCCCTACATCGCTGCCCGACTGGCGATGGCTCCCACAGCCGCCGCCGAAGCGCTGAGGGCTTTGCTTCGCAGGAGCCTGAGGCAAAAAGTGGGGGTCGGGGTGTTATTAGGGTTTTGTGGGGCTTAGGTTTTTTGCGGGGTTTAGGGGTTTAGGGTTTTTCGGGGCTTTGGGTTTAATGTGTGTGTGTGTGTGTGAATGGTCGCGTCAGCATACTCTAGACCCTATTGCCTACTTACTTACATACCGTGTGTATACATGGGTGCACGTGTGTACTTTCAGCATGAACGACGCTACGCAAGATGATACTTCTGAGCACAGCATAGCTCTGCGTTGTGATACTAGTGATGAGCTGTCTCACAACCAGATGAATTTGTATAGCAGCGTACGAGGCCTGTCTAAAATCGTTCAACAGAATTGCATGCACGCCTGTTAGAACACTTAAGGAACGGCAGAGTTCCGTGTAAACCGTGTGAGCACTTAACAAATCCCTGAGATTCCTAAAGTCCGGGTAGCCAGAGGCTCGGGTGCAGCAGGCGGAGTGGCTGGGAAGGCACCAGTGCCTGTCTGTGACTTGCTTTTTCACTCCAGGGCTATAGGGTTCAGGTTTCGGGGGCTCCGGGGTATTTTTGGGGCAAGGTCTCATGCGTATGGAGAACATGAGGCTTCATTCAGGTCATACAGGTTTGTCTTAATTCAGGGGTTTAGGGCTGCTAGGAGATTAGTCGGAGGAGTTTAAGCCTTGAGGCTAGGGGCTTCAGGGTTCAATCTAGGCATTCGAGCATTCTTGTGGCTTGTAGTTGCATTATGTTGCATCCAAACCTCCCCGCAGCCCAACACTCCCCTGAATCCTAAACCCCTAAACCCTAAACCCCTAAACCCTAAACCCTTAAACTCCCCTAAACCCCTAAACCCCCCTAAACCCTAAACCCCTAAACCACTAAACCCTAAACCCTAAACCCGAAACCCGAACTCCCAATACCTTGCAAACTACAGCGAGGCACCTTCAGAGCTCCAACCTGTGCAACCGAGCTTTCCATAATCCTTAATGGGGACCCCTACCCTATAATGGGCTATATGGGAGTTTCCGAAAATTGGGGTACCTTATTTTGGGGTCCTTGTAATAAGGATCCTACTATTTAGGGGTATCCCCTATTTTTCGGAAACTCCCATATAGTGGGTATATCATAGCTATATTAAGGGTATATACCTAGGGGTCCTTATTAAGGGTCCCTCCTTTTACCCTTGGACATAAGCTACACCTCTTCGTGGGCCCCTATAGTCTTGTATAGGTGTTCCACTGAGACTCTGCACGTTCAGGTCCTAGCAATTAAGGTATATAGTGCCCAGCTCGCCCCACGCAGGGACCGGTCGACCAGCATGGTCGCAGTGTCGCAGAGGAGGCACCTGTACAGTGTAATACTTTGGCGTCAAAAAAACTGAAACACAGTAGAAGCTATTGGACCATAAGCTTAGAGAGAGTTCAATGCCCAGCAACATATCGTGACAGCAGCTGCCACCATGGTGATACCTGTCGTTACAGACATAAACATAGAAATGAGTCCTCAGTAAGTAAAACAGGACATACTGTTCCTAGACTCATCTTTAACATCTTTAACAATGCTTTTTAGATGATCTCTAGGTGGCGAGCTCTGGAGCTGCGCCAGTCTCTGTATGATTCCCCTCGCAAAGTTTTAGAGTCCTCCCTGCGGATGCGGCATAATAAGTGAAGGAGTGAACTACAAACAGGTCAAGTGCACTGTCCATCATCTTTACCATCATCAGCATCAACATCATCACCTACATCATAGCGTCGCTCCATCTCCACCGTCATCGTCATTGGGCACTTTCGAGTCTTCAGTACCGAACTCATCACTCGGATGTGTTCGTCCTTCTTGGAGGTTCATGGGTAGTTAAAAGCAGGGTCGTAAGGCCCTTAAAATAAATAGATAGATAGACAGATAGAGAGAGAGGTTACAGCTAGAGCTAGCGTACTCTTAACCCCTACTTATTATAACTGAGCCCTAAACCCCATACCCTAAACCATCCTAAACCCTCAGCCCCAAACCCTAAGCCCTGAACCCTAAGCCCAGAGAACCACGAACCCGCAAGTTGATATGTTACCGATCACCCGAAGCGTCATGTCACCATCATCAGCCACATGCACGGCGTTTCGTCTTCTTTCGCTGGCGAGAGCATACCCTGCTCCTCCGGTTACCTTAAAGGGTACTCCAGAAAGTTGGAATATGGTTTCAGCGTAGGATACCCTACAATTTACCATAAAGGGTTTAGGATAATCATAATCCAACTTTCTGGCTTTTACTATAAGAATGGGTTCCTGGGTTATATATTCTGTGGTTAGTAACCGAATGTTTATGTAGCCGGAGCCCTTGGGCTAGTCATTCTCGAGAGCATGAAGAAGATGACCGGCATCAGTTCCCTGTTACACATGTTCTGTTCAGTGGATTGCTCGAAATTCGGGGTTCGCGTTTTTGCAGGGTGTCTAAGCCCTAGACCCCAACCCCCCTTAAACCCTAAACCCTATTCCGGTGTCTAGGTTGTTTAATGCTGTGTGGGGCCATTTTACGCATGTCTCATCCATGCTGGGTTGCCTTATTTGTGCAGCATGCTTCTGACACTTCTGTGCCGAATGTGGCTGAGGCAAGGGATATGTCTGACTCTTAAACCATCTTAAAGAGTCCCTTGGATTTCACGCCGAACTCTAGAAGACTAGAAGCATCGCGAAGCCCGAAGCCCTCAAACCAGAAACTCTGTAGGCCTGCAACCGTAAGTTATACAACTCAGAGTTGAAGGCGCCGGTCGACCACAATGGTGTGAGCGGCGCAGAGGAGGCGAGGACAAGCTGAGCATCGCAGGGCTTTTGGCTTCAGAGTTCAAGACATCACTCAGAGTTGGTGGCAAAAGCATTTAACAACAGGCATCTATTGTGCGAGTACAACATCATGGTACTGCTTGTGATGGCATCGTCACCTATCAGCCGTAGTGATGTGTTTTCAATGGAAGATTTCTCATAGACGGTGTCAGGTTGATATTGACAATGATCCATGTTTGCATCTTTCGGAGCACCAGGTAACATCAAACCCTACTTGGAGGGGCAGGGGACTTAGTAAGTATGGTTATAAGTAGAGTTAAGAGTACCCTAAATTTATGCAAATTCAGTTCCCCCAAGTATGACGCGACTTATATACCCCTACTTACTAAGTCCCCTGCCGCTCCAAGTAGCCCTAAGCCCCCAGAGCCTGGCCAGTGAGCCCGGGTTTCCCCTGAACGCCTGGGCTGGCAATTCCTGGGTTCTGGAGTATCATACTCCCAAACCCAAAGGGTCCTATGTACTGTTATGGGGGATACTTCCCTGGATCTTAATAGTAATTCCTCATACAGAAACCCTACATTCTACTATGCAGATACATAGGACCCTTTGGGAAAGAGTCCTAGGTACTGCTATGGGGGATACTTCCCCAAATCATAATCGGAATTCCGAATGGGGAAACCCTACAGTCTACTATACTTTGGACCCTTTGGGACTGTTCCTTAATGGGGACCATGTTGAAATCAATGTTATCTATACTTTAGAAGCTGCCCCCACCCGGTAATAGTGGTATAATAGGAATATAATAGGGCCCTAATATAATATGAATATAATCCTTATGGTCACTATTACAGGGTGGGGGGGCAGCTTCTAATCTATACTTTCGTCTTCTGTTTGGCGGAGGATCTGCACACGGGTCGTCTTGAGAAAACGGCAAAGCTGCCACGAGATGGCATCTAGGACCTAGAGTAGGCCCTTATTCCTTTTTTAGGCTTCAGGTTCCCTTATAAGTCCATTTAAACCAAAAAGGGCACCCTTTTTATTCCTAGGTTACTCTTGGGTCTAGGCATCGGTGATTTGTCTTGCTGGGTAGGGCTTTGGGACATTTTATATTTTCCCTTGTTGGGCTTAAGAGGATCTTACTTACTAATATTTTCCAAAGGCTTTAAACGCCCCATCTAGCTTGGCATGGCTGCTCCCGAAGCCGCGTGCATCAAGCCTTGTCTTAGAGTGGACGTGCGTGTCTTCTGCTAACTCCAGTTTCTGTCGCCGCTGAAATGATGAGTGTCTGGCGCCTACCGGTGCATTTTGCAAGGTTGGCTTGCTACGCCTTCGTGATACTTGGATTTCCAGTGGAGTGTGTACGACCCGCTGCAGACTCCGTACTGGCAAAAGAGGCTCTCATCGATGATGTATGCTGCTGCAAAACGCAGATGGAGAAAGGTTTCTCCAACTCCACGCTGTTGCCCATAAAGGAGCCGGAAAGTGCAATACCATCAATCCCTCCCTTAACCCTAAGCCCCCAAATTTCTAGCCTCAGACCAGTGAAGGACTGGACTGGAAGTGCAATACCATCAAGCCGTAAACCCAGGAAATCCCTGAACCAACCCGCCCTAAACCCTAAACCCCGAATTTTCCCTGCGGTTGGAAAAAGGAGCTCAAAAAAAAACGAATTTTCTTACCATCCCATGAAGGACTGGAAGTGCAGCGCCATGAAACAAATCCGACCAGACCGTCCTTTCTGGTGGCAGCTGGGCAGTTCTTGAACAGAATCTTCAGGTTTAGACTTTAGACCTATGTAGAATATATCGCTAGATCCAAAGAACCTTCAGGTTTCGAATGGTTTAGCCTGGATTTGAAGTAGCATGCTTGAAGGCTTTTGTTAGTACCGTGTTCCTTAAAAGGAACCATTATGAAAATGAAAGTCTAGACGCTTTTTCTCCCTGGTTACTTCAAGATTTAGTCCCTGGTGCCGAATCCCCACCAGTTCGAAAGTTTCAAGCACGGGCAAGAATCGCCCAGGCATCCAAGCGGCGATTCCGGGAAGTGCTGCTGGACACTGGGTTGTTCCGCAGTATGCTTTGTGTTGTGCTGTTGTTCGGGTTTGGCGTCTATGGGGTTTAACGATATCGTGTTATGCCATCCTGCAAATCTGCAAACCTAAGCGTTCCTATACCGTAAACCGATTTCACCCAAACCAGTATATACTTGTCAAAGGGCCCAAGTACCATTATAGTAGGTACTTAGTAGGTAGTTGGGCCCCCGAAAGTATGTACTTTAAGATTACTTGAACCTTTTGGGCTTTTTGTCAGAAGGATACCGCAGAGCCCAGGACCAGTGGATACACCTGCGGATCCACTCTGGGCTCCTTGGTAAGGAGAGTTCAGGCTCCATACTTGGAGGGGCAAGGGACTTAGTAAGTAGGTTATAATTAGGGTTACAAGTGCCCTAAATGGAGTTACCCCAAGTATAACTCTACTTATAACCTACTTGCTAAGTCCCCTGCCCTTCCAAGTAACCCAGAGACTCCATAGATATTGCTTGGGGCTCTGGCCGCACTCAGTAACAGCTGAACAGCATTAACAATAGAAAGATGATAGGCCCTTGATCGTAGCCCTAGTATAGATTGTTATTGCATGGGCGCAGTACCCAAAATACTGGCCATTATGGAATCAAGTCCCCAAAAGCATTACAAGGATGGTCTTTCGGGACCTACTTCCATCGTCGTAGTATATGGCAGTATGTACGGAACCTCTGGGAAAGGGTCATTTAGAGGGATTCTGTAAGGGCTACCAAAAGACTTACCTACTGGGTTACCTAGGTTTAGTGCTCAGGCTACAGGGTTTAGGCTTCTTAGCAGTAGAGTAGGTAGGCCTGTTTTGGTTCCTACTCTTATCCTCCCTGTACACCCTAAACCCTAAAGCCCTAAACCCTAGAACACTAAATGCTGCTTGAGGCTTTCTTTTATTAGTGACAGCCGACACGGACAAAGCAAGGCTCTGCCCAGTCTCAGAACACCCGACGGGTTGGACACTGGGCTCTTGCGAAAAGAATCTTTTAAGATACCATAATGGGAACCTTTAGTAAATTATTAATGCGGTTTCCTTTTAAATGGTAACTTACATTAAATCCCTTAACAAGAATCCAGGACAGCTCCTGTGGACAAAACCATGGCTTGGAACAAGAGGTTGAGTACCTCGACACAAAAATCGCGACTGCGGTGTTCAGCAAGGTAGCAGGATTCGCCATAGGAGCGGGATCAGCGGCACACGGACCATCGCAATCGCCCAGCAGAGGTGTCGTCACAGCCGCCGGCCATTTCAAGGTTTGCACGAAAGCCGGGAAAATCTTGCTGGGAGGTGCCTTCGATGACGTTATAGAAGACCTCGATGTTGGCAAGAGCATGTCAAGGGTCCCGGCAGGAGTTTCCGCAGCAGTGACCGACGCAAGTGTGCGGCCTTCCTGGAAGTTCAACGACGGGAAGATGACATCGGGATGGATGCATCTTAAGAAGGACGGAAAGGGCGAGCTGGTTTCTGTTGAGGATGTCACCGCTGCACCGGAAGGTGGAAAATGCATGCCACTCGAGCCTAGGCGCATGTTACAGATTCTGTTCAAGTTACCATTAAAACATCAAGCCCCGTCATTTGCTCTGAATCCATATTTCTGGTAACATAAGTTTTATTCCTTTGCAAGAACCCAGGAGCCAGGCTTCGGGAGCATCTGTCTCAAAACGGACGCGGACGCAGGTGACTTCTACATGAAAGCAGATGTGAATCTCGAGAAAGAAGTCCCGGACTGCGAATGAGGGGCGTGCTGCCCATATTTGCTGCGCCTTTCTACCTAGACCCTGGAATGTAGCAGCAACTTTGGATTACCTGCTTTCAGGTAGGGTCCTATATTTTGACGCGATATTTTAAACAAACAAGGTGCCGTTGGGGTCTACGTAGTTTCCCGTCGTTAGAGGACTGGGCGATTCATCGGGGCCACTGCAGCAAAAAGAACACCTGCCACATCAGCGCGGATCTGCTTTAGACCACCCACAGCATTCATTGTTACTATCATTATGGATTAGGTCCCAAAAGTCCGTCCTTATGATGGTTTTTGGAACCTGGTTTCATAATCGTAGTGTATGTGGACCCTCTTGGCAATGACCACAGATGGCAGAAGCACATGCATATAATCGTCATGACTTGTGTGCGAGCACACTCACTCAAAATCTGTCCAGTCCGCATCATCTCCACTGTGCACTGTTGCCTCCATCATCAAAACACTGTCACGATAAACAACTAGAATCAACACATCCGCACTCTTGTCAGCGCCATCGTCATCAGCAGCGCGCTTGCTATCAGCAGCAATAAATGAGTATTTGTTCATCTCCTCTGTCAGGAATTAGTCATCGGCTACCGAACCGAAATCCCCATCGCACAAACCCCTCCCCCAACCACTCAACGCAAGCCCAAACCCTAAATCCCAGCAGTGAGCCTTAAATTAAATCCTAAGCCCCGACCCCCAAAGCTTGAAGCCCTAAACCCTACCCTCCAAGATACCCCAACTAATCACTATTAAGGACCAAAGAGCACGATTACAGGGTCCTTGGAGGGTCCTGGTAAACCCCTAAACCCTCAACCCTAAACCCAAGCAGTGAGTCTTCAACCCCAGTCCTGCCCAAACCCCTAAAGCTTGAAGCCTAAAATCCTAAGTCTGCTTAAAGGATCATGGGACTTAGTAACTAGGGTTATTATTGCGGTAACTACACTTATAATTACCTATATCCCCAATTAAGGTACTTATAACCATAGTTACGAAGTCCCATGATCCTCCAAGTAAACCCAAACGGGCAGGCTTCCTCTTTGGTGGACCTGTCCCTGTCCGACTCTGCTACCGAGGCCGTCGATGGCTTTAGGGTTTAGGCGTGCCGGGCTTCTGGCTTATAGGGTTTAGGCTATAGTCATATAGTCCCGTTTTGTTCATATATAAAACTCAGGAGAATATTGGACATAAGATTTTAATTATGGTTCTAAGGGGGGGTATAGTAGGGCTTCTTATGGTTTGGGGTGCAGGGCTTCTTATGGTTTGGGTTTAGGGTTTTAGTGTCTAGTGGTTGGATCAGCTTTTCACATTATTTCAAGCCCAGGAGCCACAACCTCATTCGCTCAGTAGACCCATAGGGCTTACCTGGACCCAAAAGAACCTACCTTTCCGGGTTCCCTTGTACAAGCCCATTGAAGCGTCGGTTCTCCCGGGTCCAGGTAGGGCTTAAACGGGCTTAGAGATGAAAGGGATTAGGGTTTCAACAGACCCCCCCAACTACCTTCTAACATACCTTAACCCTAAGGGTCCAAGTACCTAATAATCATAGAATCATAGACTCTCCAAAATCCTAACCTACATAACCACTATCCTGAAACTGAGTACCTAATTATTGGGTCCTTTGGACCCTTGCGGTAATACCGTTTATTAAGGACCATAAGCAAGAAGGTCCATATACTCCCATTATGGAATTAGGGCCCCAAAGCCATCAGAGGGAATGTCTGTTGGGACCTCAGTCTTGAATGGCAATAGATATGGACACTCTGAGTAAAAGACATTACAGGGCACTTGGGAAGGGGACCTTGTAGAGCTGACACTTAAACTCGGCACCAGGCCCTAAACGCTTTAGGGTTTGGGGTTAAATCCTCGACCCCAAACCCTAGTCCCAACTCTTATCTACAATCTGCGACTGGTCAGACCCTGACCATAAAGCCAAATCCCGAACACAACCTAAGTTTTAAACCCTACACCCCAGGGTCTAAAAGCCAGAAGTCCTTCTAGGAAGACTCTGCATCGGCACCACGATTGACGCCGGCTCGGAGGCCCCGCGTCGGAAACGTTTACTTGATTTGATAAGGGATGGTAGGGTGCAGGTTTAGGGTTTACGGCTTAGGGTTAGAAAGGTTTAGGGTTAAGGGTTTAGGGCCAGAAGGGTGTTACAAGCGCTCATAGAGCCGTTGAAGTCTTGTTTTTCATGGGACTTAGGCCACAGAACCATACAACAGACAACTTCGCACAGCTGAGATAACGGACCCTCCTCCACCCGATAGCCTAAACCCCAAACCGCAGCCGTCTTTCATGGTAAAGACTCCTGCCTGGAGAGTGAGACCATTTTCGAGACGGCTGCACGAAGTAGTTTTTGAAGTGGCTTTTCTGATCTTGTCAGATTTAGACAGTTTTGGACAGTCTGCCACTTCCATCTTATCATGTTGAAGGGTTGGATTGGGTTTGGCTCCTGCGCTCCGTGCACAGCTGGCATCTCTCATAGGACCGACGACGATCGACAAGTGCCGCACTCCCCCTCAAACCCTAAGCCCTAAACCCCAAAGCCCAAATCCTAAACCCTGAACCCTGAATCCTACACCCTAAACCCTAGCCCTTAGCCCTCCGATATCGCAGGCTAAGCTAGGACTTGGCCAAGCTGGAAAAGCATGACAGCAGCACCGCCCACCACCAGGTTTACGCGTTTTGGGGGTTTAGGGGTTTAGGGTTTAGTGTTTAGGGGGGTAGGGTTTCGGGGGGTTAGGTTTAGGGTTCGGGGTTTAGGGCTTCGAGACATTCGAAATACTGTTTGGAGCCTACGCTGCACAGTAATTCCGTGGAAACGGGACAGTCACTCGCATCACACATTTTCGTTTCAGCATTCACAGTCGAACCTCCTTGGTCCCGGAGAAATTTGCAAAACAAAGCTTAGGGCCCTAAGAGATTTGCTAGTTGCCTCTAGACTCTAGAGTTGTTACAAAGCACCTATACAAGAACTGTGAACAACCTTGCAACCCCTCGAAACCCCTGAGCCCTAAACCCCTTATGTAACCCCAAACCGAAACCCGTAAGATCTATGGGGAAAGGGAGCCTCTCACTTCGCCCCCACTGACGCCGGAAGCTGCAGCGCAGGCACTGTCATAGGGTTTAGGGTTTAGGGTTGAGGTTATCGTTTCTGTAAGCTGTACCTGAACCTACCACAACCTCTTTTCTGTAGGTTCTTATGTTGAACCCTAATAGAATTTGTACTGGCCCTACAAAAGACAGGTGTTGGTAGGTTAAGTTAGCAAGCGAAGCCGTTTCTTCTGCCCTACTGTAAGACTCCAGGGGCTTGTCGTTTTGGCTTCTAGGGTGACTTTGAGCCTAAAGGCTCATGTAATAGACGCCTGAATAGTAATGTAGTAGGATATTTTTGTGTTTATACTTATGCTATACCATACCAACATACCACCAAATCCTGGGAAACCTTCTGATACATTATCTACAAAACGCAATCTTGAGAAGGCCTAACTACCCAAACTCGGGGACATCACAAATAGGAGCCGCGTCTGTTACACACCACTTGCCCGATAATGTAGGATTAGGGCTCCGTATGTGAATCCTACTATTCTGGGGTTATAGGCCCAGGGTTGCTTAATCAGGTTCCTAATTTGTTTGAAGACATACTGGGAAGTCCTGCAGACCTTGCGTTGGATGGTGTTCCACTTCAAGGGATGTAATGGAGAGCCATCGATACAAGCACTTCCGAGGGCCTACGATGTCACCTGCGTAAGCCGCAAAACCTCCCTTAAACCCTACAGCCTAAACCCTAAAGCCTCTGTTGCAGCTAAGTGCCGGAAGTTCTATTAGTTTCACCTAATTACACCCTGAACCTAAACCCCTGGGTACTGTTGCCACATTCAGCTGTCGCCGTTCTTGACATCTGGGGTGGGCGCGGGGGGGGGGGGTTCGAGAAGCTTAGTAGTAGGGTACGTAACCTTTATTTATCCTAGGGCTCAAGGACCCTTGTACTGAGATCCCAAACCTTAGCCCCCAAAGCACAACCCTTCCCCAGAAAGCCTGACCCTCTTGGGAGCCTGTAGTAGAAGCCAGAAATTTGGAACATCATTGTCCCCATGCCCTTAAGGTAGAGTATAAGGGATCCTAGCACCAATCCTCCTAAAGCCATGTTTCAACTTTCTGGCTTCTACTATAGGGGTGAAAAAAAATTAGGATTTAGGGTTCAGGGTTTAGTAGTAGGGTAGGTAGCCTTGGACCTTGTTCAGACCCTAAACCCTGAACCGTAAACCCGTCTTGGGCAGTACAATCCCGCTCAGTAGCTGAGTGGATACACTTTACTCTTTTTGGGTTAATTTTACCCACTACAAACCTGAAAGTGTGCACTTGTTGGGGCATATGCACTCAGCAACTAAGTGCAGTATATCCCCAAGAAATTCACTAGGTTGACCTTCAGTTCCCCTAAGACCCCACTTCGAGGGTCATGGGACGTAGTAAGCGTGGTTTAGGGTTCCCTTTATTAAGGGTTCCATAATAGGGTCCTTCAAGGGATCTATAATGGGGACCATGGGACTTAGTAAGTATGGTTACCTGAATTGGGACTATGAGCAATTCTAAGTATAGTTATCCTTATAATAACCCTAGTTACTAAGTCCCATGATCCTTTGAGTAGGATACTGGACAACTTAGGAAGGGCTTAGCATTCATTGTTTACAGCGATTGCAGACGGTCCGGTGCATTCCACTCCCTGGAAGGAACTTCAGAGTGACGGGTTGACACAGAAACTGTTTAGGGTTTAGTCCTTCGTGTCCCTGGTTTGGGTTAGGGTCTAGGAGGTTTTAGGGTTTAGGGGTACCTTGTGAACTTGGTCTGGGGTTTCGGATGTGTGGCCGAGGTGTTGCAAGAACCTAATAATTAGCCGTCAGAGCCTGTGCCTTGTGCGTAGTTTACTGAAAAGAGCTATCTTGTGGGTCCAACTAGACTCCAAACCTACAGCAAGCGCTCAACCCACAACCA